ATGCTTAGTTTATTTTGTCATTCTGATCGGATTTTCTCTACTGTTCCGTTTTAATTTTAATTTTAAATTGTTTTGCATTATATGGCCGTTTGCTGTTTTATGGGTTTTTCCCATTTGCCTTTTAAACTTTAAAAAAAATGCATATCAGCAAAAAATTTTTTTTTTTGCTCGATCCTTATGATTGTGATATCGTATTTGATCCTTCTAAGTAGCAAATGTTTTAATTTAATTTCTGAGGGGTTTTTTTTCGGAATTTACGATAGAGGGCTACGTCTTGTCCCACAAACGCACGTGTGTATACATACGGTACGCTTTGGTTTTGAACGTAAGAAGACTACCCAAAGAGCGGGGCTTAGCGGCATAGTATAATAGCCCTGGTGAACCATCTAATCTATTAGTTCAGTATTAGATTTTTTCTATTCTCCGTGAACTAAGAACATATTCGAAGTGCACTTCGAAGTGACTTTCTATTATTTCGATACATGTCATTTCTTCATATTCAGTTTTTTGTTTCGTATTCGTATATACAAAAATATCAAATACCAAAGTCATTTAATATCGTATTCTTCATCAGTTATGGGGGAGATATAAATGGAATCCACCTTGCATGTATATCCGCCATGAACATACAACGGCAACATGAAAGCCATTACGTATAACATTCCCAATGCGTCATTAGCATCGGTTTTTACTATGCCAGATCTAGTGAAGTCTTATTCTTCACGCGTCTACCTACTTTAAGTTAAATCATAGACCGATAAGTGAAAGCGATGAAAATGTAACCGAACCAAAATGAAATTGAATATTTCATGTTCTACCGGTAGTTAATAATACTAATGGCAAATCATTGTTATCATTTTTGTTATGTACAGGTATAGAGAGACGAATAAATGAAAAGAAAAAAAAAATTATATCAATAAAAGTTGTTCAATAAATAGGCCTGTACAGTAAAAAGCAATGTTGCAATAAATAGAGCGTTAGCGAATGGAATTCTTATTAGGTCTCGTCAAGCTGAAGCCGCCGGTTGAGGGCCATCTAGGCCTGCTTCGTCTCTGTTGTTTTACACACACAAATCAGGGAGCACAATCCATGATTGTGTGGCATCTTGCCGAAATTGGCGGTATAATAAACAGACATACGTGCGAAGCATGCTGATATCCACCATCGTTGTCATCATGTAGGGCCTAGTATCTGATTTACTGCCTTACCTTTTCCATGATCTACGGACCGCCATTAGTACATCTGATTATGGAAGTAACCATTCAGAAATGGAACACAATGGCCGAGTGTTGAATTCCGTTGAACTTAAATCATAACTAACATTATGGAAATGCTGGAAAATTGTAATTGATTGAAAAAAAAAATTCCCGACGCGATAGCTGAGTTGAGAATCGTCATATTGATAATGCCTCCTTTCTTTTACCTTGACTCGATGTTTGTATTTTTAGTTTAACGATTCGTAGACTAATAAAGTTTTAATATTTACTTTTCGTGGAAGGGACACATTGACGTCAAGCCGACTTTCGCTCTTGGTCCATTGAAGAGCTTGTGTTTCGTTTTCGAAAAGCTCCGATAAACCGGGCATATTTAAAAAATATCAGATACGTTAATTTCTAGAAACTGTAAAACTTTCTGCACTACAGTTACAAGCAACCAATCAAAGGACAACCAACTGTCAAAGGT